TTTTTACCAAAATCATCAAATACAAGTAGGAATTAGATCTTTCTTCAACTTCTAATCCTTGCAAACAACATCACATTCTTATAAAATCCAAATTTTCAAGGTAATATTTCAAAATCCTCTATTTCATTGATTTTTGAACTTAGGACTAGTTTTGATTAGTTCTAAGATGAACATTACATCGGGCATTGGTTATATGATGATTTTACAACCAATTCTGTCAAAAACACTCAATTTTTCAAAATTATCTTTTAATTTCGAAATAAAAAAATCAAGAATTGTTGTTTTAATTGATGTTTTTGATTCAATTATGTTGTTTTCATAAAAACTATACGTATTATGATTTTCAAATATTATTTTCCAAATAGTTTTTCAAAACATTGCCCTTTAGGATTCGGTTTAGAAAACCTTGAAATATTTGAGGACTCGTTTGAGTTTTGGGTTTTGATTATATTGCATACATGTGTTTAAATTTGCAGGTTACATATTCTATTTCGATTCTTAAACCATTACAAATCCTAAACGACCTAGGACATTATCTAGTCGCTCAACTCAAAACCGACCTCTTATTCATCCACCCAATCCAAATAACCCAAATATGACCATTCTGAACTCTTGTTTCACGTACCTGGTCGTAAACAAAATCTATATCATAGGTATCATACTTGTTTTGAGTCATACAAAATCCAGGAAGAACGTATCCCTTCGATTCAAGCTATAGAAGATATGGACTTTCAATATCTTCATACTCTTAAATCCTAGAAGTTTGATAAACTCTTTAAACTCAAACCTTTGGTTTATCATCAATTAGTCCGCATTTTTCTATTCCAATGTGGTATGTGTCCAAAACGAGCACTGATATGAAATTATAAGAATTCGATCATATCTTTTAGGACAATTCATTTTTATAGACTCCGACACAATCGCTACCCATTTTGGACTAGATAACTCAGGTTTAATGAAAAAGAGACTATGGATTCACCCTATAAGTCTAAGGATAGTGAGAGTACCCTAAGAACTCATCGTGATAGATTCCTTCATTATTTGATCTCTTGGTGGTTTAGACCATCCGGAGGTAGGTACTCCACCCTTTAGGAACATAGATATATGGTGGATATACTGTATCTAATATAAAAAGAAGATTAATCTGCCACAGATCATCTTTAGTGAGTTTCCATAAACACTATTCCCTCCAAGAATACAGAGACTTTAGTTTATGGTTGTCTCCTTAGTGATTTGTTTATCAAACGCAGTCTTAGGGTCTTTTCTGATATTCTTATCCCTCTTCAAAACCAAATCAATCTTACTTCCTTGAAGAAAGCAAGATGGAAAAAGGATAAGGAAACGGGCCAATGGATTTATCATCCCGAACTCAAAACTTTAAATTGTGAAACATTTTGATGTTCATAGATTGTTTTATTTTAGATGTTTAAATTTGATGGATAATTGGATATTTGAACTTACATGCTTATATATTTGGTTTGTTTTTAACTTTCATTTTCAGCTTAATTTTATTTTTGCATCATTTACATATTAGTTGCATTATGGCCAATTTTTGTCATTTCACATTATTTATGAATATTGAATTATGGAACTAATGGCTAACGTTTCTCTTGATTGTGATGTTAGCAGCTTAAACTATATATATAATCAATTGGCTAAATGTTTTTAAATCCTTGTTTAAAATCTTTTCCGAATCTTTTTGATTTAACAAAAAGGGGGAGAAATGTTAAAAGCGTTTTAAAGAGGAATAATGTTAAGAGGAGTCGTGTTAAAGTAAGGGGGAGTAGTATTTTCAAAATCAAAATTCATTTTGAAATTAGAAAATCATAAAATGTTTTGTTATATCAAAAAGGGGGAGATTGTTGAAAACATTTTGATGTTTCGATATAACAAATTAAATTAAAAGAATTTTAATTTTGAAAATAATTTTTCTAAGCATATTCGATATATTAAATTGAATATCAAAATATTACTCAAAGTATTTCAAAATTCATTTTAAATCCTTACTCAAGTGTAAAATTAAGTTTTAATCTTAAAATAATTTCAAAACGATTTTACAAAATATTTCGAACCATTTCAAAGCAAAAAATTCTAGATTGCTCAGAGGGAACTGATTCCCCTCCAAGGGGGTACCAATTCCCCCTGAATGGTTTTGCTCCGAGAAAAACAGAATGCTCGGAGGGAACCGATTCCCCCCCAGGGGGTATCGATTCCCTCCTGTTTAACGGCTGAAATATTTGAATTTTACACTTAGGGAACCGATTCCCATAAGAGGTACTGATTCCCCCCACGCTCCAAGCTGTTGTATTAATTGTTTTCACACTTAAACGGCTCCAATAACTTCATTAATGATCCTCAACGTTCAGAAGTGATTCAAGGTGTATTTAAACAAGTTCTGAAGCCTTTGATCAACAAGAAATCATAGAGAAACAAGAGAGAAAGCATCAAACACCAAGTTTATGCAAATCAAGTCAATTTTCCTTTCAATATTCATTTTGCTTTCAAGAACACCATTTGTGCTCATTTATAATTATTTTTGAGTGTTCTTTTCTTGTTCTAGAATTGTGCAAACATCTTACCTTGTGAGGTTTTCCTTGTAAGTTTGCACATTTGTGTATTTCTCTTTGAAAAAGAGTGTGCTCAAGAATTTGGGGTATAATTCTTGAAGAAGTTGTAAGGTTACTTTTTGTCCTCAATAGGAAGAACGAATTAGTGAATTTGTTGGAAAATCCTTAGTGTGGATAGCTAAGGTAGTGGACGTAGACTTTGGTTGAGAAAGTCGAACCACTCTAAATTGTTGTACAAATATTTTCAATTTTCTGCAAAAGCTTCCACCAAAATTTTAATTGCCAATTCACCCCCCTCTTGGTCATTTCCATCAATCGATTAACTCAACAAATACAGATAGTATAAATATATTATTGTGTAGACATCGATCGAAAGCAAAGTTTGGATAGGTCGATAGAGTAAGATACACAAAGAAAACAAGAGCTTAAGAGTTTTTGTTGAGACCAGGTGAGTACATGATAGTAAGTGTACATTATGTTAAGGAATTAAGACTTGCGATGAGTCTAATTCCGATATTATATGATATAAGTACTAAAGCATAAACAGGTAATGATATGGGGTTAGATGTATGGTATATGAGTACATACATATGTCTAATTGTTGAATGCATCTTTATGGGTGAACTATGTAAATGCATATATTTATGACAATAGGTCATGTAGTCATTAGATTTATGATAAAATATATGTTAAAATAATATGACTCATATGTGTTTCTATTAGAATGCTATATGATATGTAACGTATGTGAAATGGATAATATGAATACATATTAGTATAATAAGATAGATTAGATGTTATAATTAAATGAAGGGATTGTATTAGAAAATGTATGTGCGAAAATGTGTTGTATGATAGTGGTCTATGAGATGTTGATAATAAGTCATAAGATTACATGCATATGTAATATAAGTTAAAAGATAAGAAATAATATGTTATATGCATATGAGAAAAAGGTATATGTGAACTATATGAAATGAGATAAAGAACTATGTGATGTGACCATATGTGAAAATGATGAATAATGTGAATTTCATGGAAAAATGTTACGTGAAATTAAACTACGTGACTATGTGATCATATGAGACGTGATAAAAAGCTATGTGAAATAACTATGTGATATGAATATGTGATTGTGTAATGAGGTAAAAGATAATGCCCATGTCATGTGTTATGAGAGTTATAGGTATAGTTGGCATGCCAAGAGTCGAGGGTCTACGCGGTCCTTCGGGACATAGTGGTCTTTAAGGACATATTTGTTATATGTGGTCCTTTGGGACATCTAAGTGGTCCTTCGGGATAAATTCTACGCGCCTCTAGTGGATTTATACGAGCTGTGGTGACAGCATTGTGCACAACCTCTATGTACTCACATACCTTAAGTTCTCAATAGTGTGCATGGGCTTTGAAAAGAAAACATAATTTGATATAATGATATGTGTGTTTTCGTGAAATGGTATATGTGATATGTGATATGTATAGTGATAAGTTAGAATCATATAATAATAATGGTAACAAGTGCATATGTGTAATGGTGATATGAGATGTTATATGGTTATGCAGGATATAATCATAGCAATTATTCATGTATTGTTGTTGTTGAGATTACATTATACGTTTATATTCAATATATGCTCATATGATGGAAGTAAATTAATGACAAAGAAATAAGTAAAGATAAACATGTTAGTGATGAGTTCAATAGGTATATAAGTATAATGTGTATTACATAAGATGTTCATGCATTTGTTAGTTTACTTTATGTATTTACATGTCTCACTAAGTCTATGACTTAGCGTGTAAGTGTCTTATACGTAAGTGTGGATGAGTCAGAAGATCAAGCTTCGGATCCGTAAAGCAACATATCTCCGCGCAAAGTTCAGATCAGAAATATTTTGTAAAGTATGTCTTGTCATATAATTTAGTATGTTGGCATGTAACTAAGTCATTATATATGTACGCTCTGATGGAATCTGTTAAGGTTTTAAACATGTTTATGTAAAAGATTTACTTTAAATAATAGAAGTTTTAAATTTTCTATGTTTTTTTTATAAAAGTATATGCTTTGAATGGTCAATGTGACACCTCGGACTCGAATACGAGTTGGGGGTGTTACAGCTTCAGAAAGATAAATTATTTGACATGAAACTTATTACAACCTAGCATTCTTTTGGATATAAAGGTTTTAGTTTTGTGCCAAGAATCAAATAACTTACACAATGTGATCCCAAAGCCTTATCTCAAAAGTCGGTAAAATTGTCACCGTCAAAACAAAAGTGTAAATATAATAGGTAATATTCAAAGAAGCATATAATATATTGCCATGCCTATGCCTTTTTGTAACTTGTAATCACGTTAAATGCTTGACTGAGGTTACATGTTTGATTCAGGTTAATGGCAATGCAGTTTTACTAAAAATATAAGATAGAAAAAGACATTATTCTCTAGGTGAGCTAATAAGTAGAAAACTGGTCATAGACAGCGTACCATAGAACCAACTCCATTAGACACCTTCCCAGCAGCTGCTACATTTGTTTCTCCACTTGTAATGGCTAGTTTTCCAGATTCTTCACTAGTTACCTCAGCTTTTTGCCATTTCCATAAGTATTCTGCATGTAAGTGTTGCGACTTTTCGGTGCATCTACAAGTTCTGAAGAGGCTTTGAACGGAGCTGATACAGAAGGCTGCCCCGAGGTTTTTGCTTCAAGATCAGACATCCAACCGTACCTTAAAAGTAGAAGTCAGTTACAATATATCAATAAACATAAACTACTAGGAGCCAAAATAAATAATGTATAAAATGAGAGAATGAAAAATAAAGATTAAGAAAGGTCATCAGGTATTTGACCTTAAACGAAACATAGATGGGCTTCCGATTGTTGCATAGATATCACTGGCATTGATACAGATGTCATTTCTCGTCCAACGGTAACTGATCAGATTTTCTGCTACATATGGGAAAAGCATGGGCTCCCCTACAGCGATACTTGACCTGCCCCACTTGCTATCAATGTGCTTAAGCACAGAGGATATCTTCTTTCTAGCACTTAAAGTCAGTTCCAAATATGGATGAAACCCATCCTAGAGTAAAGAATAATTAACCTTCAGCCTACGTATACATTATGGAAAAGGCTTAAAGTGTTTTTAGGTTTACAATTTTACCTTTTCTAATCCTAGACGAGTGCTTTCATCTATTGGAAAGAGCTGCAACTTAATCTTATTGGAACGATGAAGTCTTTCTTCTGTATTCAGGTCAAGTGCAGGCGGCTTTGTAATTTCTTCCACAAAACTTGTTGTAGTTATAGACCTCGAAGATACTGCATCACCTGAACCAGAAGGTGATGACTGCTCATCCTTTTCTGTTTTTCCTAAATTTAAAGATAAAAAAAACTTATAGTTAAAAGAATAATTCAAGTTCACCAATTTATGAAACACATCGACATTTATACTTAAAAAGATATATTTCTTAATAAGGCAAGACAAAGTATTAAAAAAAGGAGTCCAATGGCCTGCCTGATGCTCCCTGGAGCTTCTGCTCGACACCTAACTTTCTGGATTTATCAACTCCCTTACAACCATGCACATTACTTTCTGAATGTGGTTCCAAGGCCTTTATCCTTTTCTTTCTATTAGTTCCCAAGGAATAAAAGCTTCCCTATCATTGAAGACAAATGTAAACAACATTAAACTTCAAAAAAAAATGTAAACAACATTAATTCGAAAGTGCTTTACGAAAAACATCCGCCAACATTACACCTAAAGAAGAAAAATATCAAAATTCAACTGAAACTCAAATTCTAAGAGCGTATGCCACCAGTAGCCTTCAATTAACAAACAGTGCATAACAGAGGCACCGGGAAATAGACGAGATCTTTAGATTAGAAAAAAAAAACAATATAGTCATGAATTACAAGTTGAAGCAATACCAAAGCGGATTCAATTAAGTTGCCCATGAGTCAAACCCTATTTCTCAAATTAGGGTCACAACATAAGACATCATAACATAACGAACTTTAGCCTTTAACTGGAAATAACTAAGGTCCTAACTAAAACATCAAAATTGAAATTACAGATCATCTGAAAATCTTGAGTAAGTTACATAATTCAGCAACAGATGTTAAAATTTAAGGATATAAAATCAGAAAATGGAAAATATTGGAACAAGTTGAATGATTTTCAAATAATCAAACTAAAATTATTAATTCTATTAAAAAGGAACAAGAAAAAAGAAAAAGGAGAGCTTCTAGTTTTACCTGAACAGAACCGAAGCAGCGTAGAGCAGAAAGAGAGAGCGAGAAATTTGAAAAGAGAAAATCGCCTCAGTGACCAAAAAAAAGTTATAATATACGATTTTAACCAACTTTTTTTGGATTTGCCAAAATGACCAACAAAATCGCAACGCGAAATAAAAATCGCAACGCGATCCCCAGAATCGCAAATCAGTTTCCAGAATCGCAAATCAGTTTCCAAAATCGCAACGCGATTCTTGAAAATCGCGATGCGATAGTAGAAATTCGCATTGCGATTTTCCATAATCGCAACGCGAATATGAAAATCGCAACGCGAACACATAAATCGCAACGCGTATCCGTAAATCGCAACGTGTATCCGTAAATCGCAACGCGTATGGGTAAATCGCAATGCGTATCCGTATATCGCAACGCGTATCCGTAAATCGCAACGATAATACATAAAATCGCAACGCGTATCCGTAAATCGCAACGCGATATTTAAAGCGCCATTATAATCGCTACGCGTATTTTATTTTCAAATTACAAAAAGAATATTAAGACAAAATCCCGTAATCGCAACTCATAACCTAAAACCTAAAATCACAACTCGGTCCCATCTCCATCTCTCACTCTCTACGGCGAAGAAATCCGTCCCCATCTCCGAAGATTTCCGTCCCATCTCCGGCGAAATCCCTCACAACCATTCACGGTCAGAAATCCCTCACAATATTCAGAAATGGAAAATCAACCTCGAGGGTTAGTTTTTTTAATTATTTTATTTTGAAATGTTTGCATTATTGTAGGTTTTCATATTGAAACTGATGATAAGTTTACTGGCATTTCAATAATAGATTAACCATTTCACTTAGATTTCATTTCGCGTTACGATTCTGTCGTTGCGATTTTCATTTCGCGTGCTATTCTCTCGTTGCGATTTTCAAGTTAGTATTTGTCTTTGTCTTTGTTCTGTCTTTTGGTGAAGTAATGCAATCCATTCAAGTTTCAATTTGCAGAAGAGTCGCAACGAGATAAATGAAAATCGCAACGAGAGAATGACTGTCGCAACGAGAGAATCGCAACGCGAAATGAAAATCGCAACGAGAGAATCGCAACGCGAAACCAAAATCGCATTGCGATTTTCATTCGCGTTGCGATTCTCTCGTTGCGATTTTCATTTCGCGTTGCGATTCTCGGTGCGATTGTCATCTCGCGTTGCGATTCTCTCGTTGCGATTTTCATTTCAACCAAAAGACAAAACAGTGTTGCAAATTTTAGTTTCAAGAATAAACTACTACTTTTATGTTTATGTTTTGGTATATCTTCACAGTGTAGTTTTTTGGTATATCTAACTTGTATGTTTATTGTTTTTGTAGAAATTTTTCGGCTCAATTGACCTTGAGAAATAAAGTCACCTGGCCACTACATTGCAAAGAAGCTTTCACCTGCTCAAAGACAATTGTTTGAGGAAACCTGTTCGGGCCATGGGTGAGAGTACAGCATCCGGGTGGAGATGCTAATTTGACCCATTTGTGGCTTCAGGACCATGACATCAAATCTACCCGACAGTATACAACGTGGTGAGGAAGAGATATGGTTTCATTTTCCACCAGCGTATACTTGCTTTGGGCGGAAGGAGTTCTGCTTAATCACTGGTCTACGATTCGGACACGATGATGTAGGCCGGTACACTCGTCATATCGCCCGCCCATCATGGTTATCCCGGGTTTTTTCGGATGAGTCAATGGAGAAGCCGAACCTACATGTCGACGACCTGAAGAAATTATTTAATAAGAAGCTGGTTTCATCGGATGGAAGACGTCGATGTGTCCGAGTATGCCTTCTACTACTTGTGTATGCCGGCTTTTTAGGCAGAGAGGCCAGACAACCTATTCATCGGGAGCTAATAATATTGGTAGAGGACCTGAATGCATGGAATGTTTCGGGGGGTCGTATATGGAAAGCTACCTGGACTAAGTTGTCGTCTGCCTTTGATGACCGCAAAGTTTGCGGGGCGATGGGTCCAAATACACTTTGTCAGGCTTTGTTTGGGCCTTTTAAGGTAAGAATTTCTATATAATGTTTCTAAAATTATATAATTATTTAACAATTACTAATTTTGTTATTATATTGTTTGTAGTTGGATATTCGAGGCTTTCCCAACATGCGTACATATGCAATAAAAACGTCAAATGATATTCCCAGGGCTATTTCCTGGAAGAGGAAAACTCTGTTGGATGGGAAGACTTAATACCATATGCCACAATAAATAATGTAAGTAACACACATACTTCCTATAAATATAAACAAGTTATTAATAGTAGACGTTTAACTTTGTTTGAGTTTTTATATTTTAGGAGGCCAACATTCCATTACAAAGACTGACACCCACGGAGGAAGAGCTTGCCACTGATTGGTGGCAAAGCTAGTCAGAATTTTTTTGATGGCACGGATGATGAGCAGCATCCACTTCTCCAATTCGAGAGCCATCACCTCACCTAGAGCCATCACCGATCGCCCCGACTATACACCTCTAGAACGAGAGCCATCACCTATCCCGTCACATCATCGAGCTCTTCTCCACCATCACCTCATGATAGGCGACCGGCAAAGATGCCGACTCCTATCCCCTGTTCTCCACCTCCACCTCAACGGGATGAGTCAAGGGGAGCGTGATGAGGTCATGCCTTGCGTGAGGAGATCGGTACTCTACGC